TAACACATGTTCTAACCAACGTAATGTATGAAGGTCGACCACTTGCTCCAGTGGGCGACCGCGGATACCCAAAACTCTGCCCCTTACCTCAGCATTGCTCATCCGGCTACCCCACCAGATTCGTGCAATGCTGCGTAGACAGCGGTGTTCAAACACCGACAGTATATGTTTATCCTGTTTTCTTAATGGCCAAGTTTCTGCACCGTATAGCAGAACTGGCCGAACTGCCGCGGCATACACTCGACCCTTCACGGACAGCCGGATGTCGTAACGGCGCCACAGATGTCTCAAGTTAACAAATGCCAACCGAGCCTTCTGTACGCGAGCTGACACTTCATCCGTGATGCGTCCACCGGGTGAGACGTAGCTGCCCAAATAACTAAANATAACTAAACTTATCCACTTGCTCTATTACTTCCCCAGTTAGAGTGAGGCTGGGTGCTGGACCGACCCAGTCTTGTAGTAACATTTTACACTTTGAAGGTGTAAAACGCATACCGAATATGGCTACACTGGCATTCAACTTATCCAGAAATGCTTGCAACTTACCTGGATCTTCACTTAGTAGCACAATGTCGTCTGTGTACTCCAGATCAGACAGCCTGTCACCTGGAAGTAAATCGATGCCATTATCCTCGCACGAGGATAGGGCTGTTTCCATAATCAAATCTATAACAAAGTTAAATGGAAAAGGCGAAAGAGGGCAACCCTGACGAACACCACTTTCCGTGGTGAACTCGGGAGAAAAAGTGCCGTAAGCCCGGACTCGACTTCGGGTATTAGTATAAAGCGATCGTAATATTGAAATTAACTTCTCGGGCATACCATTCAGAAAAAAGGCAGCGCCATAGTTTACAGCGGTCGACTGAGTTTGAAAGCCGCTTTCAGATCTAGGAAGACAGAGATGGTGGGTCTACGAAAAGAAGTGGATGTGGACGATTAAATTCAAAAAATGCAAGAAATACTTGTTGATACCCAAAATTTTTCCCATGAAAGTACCGGACGTGATCGGACAGCAAAGTTGAACAATCGATTGCTCGTGAACTGCTCCAGCTACACAAAAATGGCCACATAGACGCGTCCACTGTTACCCAACTCCTTCCTCATCGCTCGCGGCTGCCTCGAATGTACGCTTCACCCAAAGTTCACAAGGAAGGGATGCCACTACGTCCTATACTCTCTATGACTGGTGCACCACACCAAAAGTTAGCACGTTGGTTAGCCGAACTGATAGATCCGATCAGGCGCAAGTTTGCAGCACACGGTCTGAAGGACTCATTTGAATTTTCGGACGAAATGGTGACGATAAATGTTTCCAAGAAGCATATGGTATCGTATGACGTCTGCTCATTATTCAGGAATATCCCTCTTGAACAGACATTGTTTGATCCCACGCCAGTGATCTCAGTGTACCATCTCATCATCTTAAGAAGCTCCTGCTGTTGTGTACAAAAGACGTGCAGTTTTGTTTCAATGGCAGCGTATATCGACAAGTTGATGGTGCGGCAATGGGAAGACCATTAAGACCAGTGTTAGCCGATATATTCATGGGCCACCTAGAAGAAACAAAACTTCATCAGTCAATACATGAGACTTTTCTCTATAAGTGTTATGTTGACGACACGTTTGTTGTTGTCAAAGACAAGAATCATGCTAAAGAAATGCTAAAATCTTTGAATTGCTGTCACTGTAACATTAAGTTTATCGTAGAACATGAATCTAAGACATCCTTTCAATTCACGGATGTCAAAATCACGAAAAGGGAAGATGAATCTCTTCTCTGGTCTGCATTCCACAAACCAACTTGGACTGAACTTCTGTTCTGAGCTTCTGTTCAATACAATACAAGCGAACCCCAGTAAAGAGTTTGTTTTCTAGAGTAAAACGAATTTGTTCTGCGGAAACACTTGAAAACGATCTTGAGCTGATATCCTGTGCATTACAGGATAACGGGCATTCGCGGAATTTCATTGCAAAGTACGGTAACAGCATAAAGACCAGAACTAGGCGAAACGACATACCAAAGAAAAACGTTCTCATCACATTACACTTTAAATGTGATCAGAATGAGAGACTATCATAACGTCGTTTGAAACAAGCTCTCTCAAGAACGTACAACGCTGTTTTGCTTATTATTCTCCGTAAAAGCAGACGAATGATCACTAAATCCAACTTGGACAAGCTAAACTCTCAAGTTACCTCCTCGTGTATTTGCCTATTTCAATGCACTTGCGGTAGCAAGTATATCGGAAGAACTGAGAGACGCTTGGCCACTCGGATTTCAGAACTCGTCCCGAGAGATTTAGCACTCAACGACTTGAAGATCCCCTCCAGCTCTATTGCCCGCCATATATTGGACTGCAAATTTTGCACCGATCCAAAACAAGCATTACGGGTGTTAAACCGACAGAAAACTGGGCGGTTTGCTGAGGCCGTAGCCATTCGGCGTCACAAACCAGACCTCTACAAACAATTAGACTTTGTGGTCAGCCTAAACCTCCGATGGTAGGGCTGTCACCTTGATCCAGATTGATGAACATGTTCTCCCACCCTATCCCTCTGTTCAACCCGACTGAGTGGTGACTTCGCACTGATTTTGTCCAATCGAGTGTTTTTGATGTTTAAAGATTTGTCATTGTCCTGATCGAACTTTCACATGAATGATTGTACACAGCTGAATAGATAACGTGAAACGTTGAATTCAACCTGCCCTGTAACGATGCTTGTTCTTGCTCTTATGAAATTCCTAAAGGGAACTGGATGTATGTACCATCTAAAAGTTGGGCAATAAAAGCTATAAAAGTCGAAAAATGACATTCGATCTGGTTGTGTACAGTAAGGTGCTATATAGAAGTTAGTCAAAATTGTGTACGCAAAACAAGAAAATCTTGAGTGACCCTGCACGGTTAGGCACTGAATAACTTGTGAGCAGTACCGAAAAATGACATGGGACTTGCTACACCAGGAAACGTTGACATATGTCGGAACATTCCAGTCTTTTATCCTCCGGGTCCACGATCCTGTCGGTAAACTTGAAAACCATCCATCGACAGTAGAGAGTAAACTACATCCTTACTTAACCGGGATTCTCGAACACAGACTGCACACCTGTTCATATGAACTCTTGACCGGAGGACGATGGTTAAATCCGACATATTTGGAAACAGGGGCTGGATGGTAGTGCTGACCAATGAGAAGCAGCCGTCTTGAACAGCAGGACGCAATTAAGGGCACCTTGCCATCCTACACGCTTGCGTTTTCCGGTCAAACCTGGACAGTGATAATCTGGAGTCGCAAAAACGGCTGAATCATCATAGAATGTCCGGAGACGTTCGAACGAAACAATATCATCCCGTGAGTAACGACGACGCATGATAGTGAGTGAAAATCGGAAAATTTCAACAATGTGACGGAGAGCGTGTAAGTGTAACGCAGCCAGTCGAATACAATTAATGATTATATCATGTCTTGCCAAGACGTATGATCGATACAAGCGCCTCTGGACTAGCACCGAACAATGATACGGAGAGAGAACACGACTGAGAAAACGACGGTCAGAGTGTATTATCGATCATGACGAAATACGCAAATATATGTGGTAAATTGGGCGTACGAGAAACGACGTGGTGACGCACCAACCACATCGCGTTCTTGACACTCCGGTTGATCGATCGGATGACAGATGTCCGATTCGCCCAAGTCATTCAATCCGGAATTGATTCGCCTTTGGGCGTCGCGAACGCACTCGTGGTGTGACGCGGATCCATGCTCGGCCTGACGGGATCTGTGCGCACGGTCCTAACAGATTCCATACTGCATCGGTCGTCGCGCAGGTTAATCGGGGCAGCGCTGCCCACTGCGTTAAGCCGGGAGGGGATCTATAAGTGAGCTACTGCTCTGACAACCAAACCTTTGTTTAACTATTTGTGTTCGGTACCCAGCCCTCTTCCTTTGCCACTTTTTCCGACTCGCAAATCTCCATTAGATAAATAGTTTGTCACTCGCCTAAGATCGTTGCCAAATAGCATTGTAATTTACCGCTAAGTTGAATATTCTGAAACCTCGACAATCACTTAATCCGTGGCGATCAACCTGAAGACTCCGATGCAGATGGGTCAAGAAGCGTGTTGGGCGCGTAGAACGAACTCGTTGGAAATTGATGTTTTCTGCCTATCAGGGGCACAAATTCGGGATCCTGTTAGTATAAGTCATCAGTAATGCACCAGGTCTGTCCATGAGGTATTTCCTTTGCACATCAGCAGATGGTGAAGTCCGTTCACTGGGTTATTGTGGTGTAGGAATCGTAATAAACCATAAAATTTAGCAGTCCCGATTCACAAATGGGCGAATTTTACGAGTTTCACCGAACTGATTCGGTTGAGCCGCAGCTCTGTTATGGTGCTGGCTAACGTATCGGGGCCAAAGTTTGGCATGATTCTTGGTAGTACTAACTTCTCCAACTTCTGCATTACGGCTTAGGCATTGAATCCAGAACTTGTTAATCCGATTGGCGTTCATTTCGGCTGCTTGCAGATTTCACTCTCGAATTTGAAGTACGTCTGTAAGCATAGTTCCAAGAATTCGTAGATTGCAGCTGGTTCCGTTGGTTGGTTTGGTGGGTATAGGGTGACCAACTCCAGCAACGTGGATCTTGTCAGATCCAAACCGATCGAAGTAAAGAAAGCGGTGTCGTCGAAGGACTTCATTATTTCGTCCTCTTGGATGTTGACAGCTTTGAGGTTGTTCAAAAACTGAGTTCCATGAGTTCCTCACACTATGCTCGTGTCCCGAAGTAAGTGGTTTCAGTAATTACCATAATTCTTTTGCCAACTTGCTTGTCATTATTCCTTGAAGGGGGATTTCTTCCTTGGGCAACTTGGGTAGTCTGTAGAATTGTGCGATAACAGAGTTTTTTGCTCTCATTCTTTAGCGCTCTTCTTTGGTTATTCGATGCAGTTATTCCAGTGGTTTCAATGTGGTATTGATTTTGTTTTCCTCTTTTGCGGTGAAGTCAGAGTAGATTCGGCGGTAGGTTTTTGTGTCTTCGACTGTAACTGTTTGCTCCCATGAAATTAGTGACGAACTCTAGAGGAAGATGAAAACAATCGTCACCTATCCAACGATGTGTTTATAGCCCATTTTTATCGACTACTTACGTTGCGCCAATTCATGAGAGGGTGATTATACGAAGCATACAAAACAATAATAACAACAACAAGCTAAACACAATGTTTCTCATAATGCTGAAAATGTCAAAACAACGTTCTTATAAATGTATGTGCACTTATGGTGTGCTCAAAATGAATCAGCACACGAAATGCGCACAAAACTTTCATTGTGGCATCTCGAGACGAGACAGTTCTTCCGACTTCTTGCTCTTTTAGGTGTGAGTCTTTTTTCGGTACAAATATTTTCTCATTGAGTAGCTAACCACACAATTGTCAATTATTAATTATCGAACTTGATGTCCTCGGGGTGAGTCGAACGAAGTGGACCGCTAGTAGGAGTAGGTCCACTTATCCGTAGCAACATATTTTCCGGTTCCGCCCGCACAGATGAAGTGCTGGCTTTCTCACAGTTCACACGGTAGTCAGTCTGATTTTTTTGTTTCATCACTAATCTGTATAGCAAAATGCGACACTCGTTGAGCAAGTTCGGCACGGATATTTACCGTCACACTCAAACCGATGTGTTAGGAGTACGTCATCGTGGGAACCAAAGGTTTCTACACCCGTAAGAGTGACAGGTCTAATTCCTGGACCACAGCTATGCTGAAGTCGCAAATAAGATCAGTACGATCGAGTGACGACCTGAAAAGGTTTGACATGTTAGATGTCAGGCTCTCCGATCACTGATCAGGTAAGGAAGCTTAACATCATCCTGGTCAAGCGGGGAAATTTCATTCAGTAACTGGATTAGTGCCTCGGGAATGTCAGCTCGCATGGTAATCAAACATCTGAGATGGAATCCCAAAGCTCGGCGAACAACTAATTGAACATCACTTAATACTGGTAAATAAACAAAATCAATAAGCGGCACTGCTTTTTACAAGACAGCCTCTAGAAATGAACCGATTGCACCGTAGATTTCAGTGAAGTGAACTTTGCTGATCGCTGCCAAACTTGCAGTGCAAACAAGGTTAATGGTAAAATTTAGAGTGGACAGGGATTGGATCTATTTTGAGGGAAGGAGAAAATGATGAGCCACTATGGTCAACACAAAGTACGCAATCGAACTCTGCATACATATCGTTTCAAGCATTCTGACCTGATAAGAAACGACAACAAGAACGCCACTGCTGCCGGTTCGCTGCCATATCCTTCAATGTCTCCAGCCAACCAACCACTTGTGTAGTCTTTCGGACCCCAACCTGGAAAGCGAGAGACACCTACTCTACCTAATGGCTCTGTACATTTCTTCATGCCTAGTCTCCACGTCATCTATTGATCTCCAGGTGGTTTCCTCCGGCCTGGATTAGCCACAGCAAATAAAGCGCGGTGCGGCAGACGATGGTTGGGCATACGCAATACGTGCCCTAGCCAGCGAAGCCTAGCACTCTGAATTCGGTGTGCTAGCAGGTTTATACCTGGCAGACTTCAAAACACAAAGCGGCTTACCTCCACGTTACTAACCCGTTTGCTCCATCCAACGTGGGTTAAACTGCGTAAAGATCGATATTCGAAAACTTCTAGTTGACGAATATCTTCTACTCTCAAATTCAGGGTCTCACAACCATAAAGCAGGACTGAACGAAGGCTAGCACAATATATACGGTCTTTCGATTTCAGTGAAACGTCGCATCTACGCCAGAGGTGTTTCATTCCTACATATGATGCTCGAGCCTTGGAAATGCGGGCGGTTATCTCCTTTGCTGCACTACCATCATTCATCACCCAACTACCTAAATAGGAAAACTAATCCACCACAACTAAATCCTAGCCATTTAGTGTCAGAGCGGGAGTAGAGGAAACCCAATCCTGCAGTATCACTTTGCACTTTGAAGTTGCAAAGCACATACCGAATGTAGCAACCTCACTTGCTACTGTATCATTTTATTTAAATCCGATCTCGGAAATCATAGAAAATTCACATCTCCGCATGGAGAGAAAACACGGTGATTTTAGCGAACAAGCTCGGTTTCGACTACTTCTTCAGGCTAATACAGTTATATAGTCAAAATTAAAATTAAAATGTTCGTCAATGGCTGTGTGATTCGTGGTTTGTGATTGTTTCTGGTATGTGGTTGGGAAAGGG